ACATCCACACATTCTTGAAACCAAAATGCTCCACAGAACTTATGGCAGTTATAAAGTCAACTATTATAATACAGAAGGGATGGGAGGAAAATTAAAGCTATAAACAAAAGAGGCAACAAAGATGTTTACACCTGCAGCTCCCTAAGGAAGCTCAGGAGGTGCAAATGCAGCCAGAGGCCACAGGCAGGGGTGGCATTGTGTTGGAACCCAGGACACCCCTGATGTCGGAACCCAGGACATCCTCAGCTGTCCTGAGACAGCTCAGGGACCCTGGCACGGAGCCCAAAACCCCTGTGGTTTTGATTATGACCCGTGGAGCAAGTTACCAACCTTAGATGAAGATCTGCAAGCCACAAGAGTTAAGTAGAGTAATAGTGAATTTATCATGGGGTGAAAAAGTAGATTTTAGGGTTTTTAGAATGGGGGTTCAGGAGGCAAGATGGAGGGATCTGGGTGTGTCCAGCCTTTCTCCTTCTTCTTGGCCTCCATCTTCTGCTGTGATGTTGGCATGTTTAGGTTGGTTTAGAGTAGAAGTTCGCTGTCTAACACAGGTGATGGGTATTGGAAAGTAATTGTAAACATTGTACACATAGTTTTTAGTATAAGGACATAACACCACCCTGGGAGCAGGCAGAGTGCCTGGACTGTCTTGCTGAACAGACCTCAGCAGGGCAGGAGAAAATAATTTATAGATAAGGAACAATAAACAACCTTGAGACCGAGAACCGAAGAGCTCTGACTCCTTCAAGCGCTGGGCTGGGAAAAGAGACTTTTAACATTTCTCGGGGTCACTGTGACCAGCAAGCGGCCCCGAGACAGCATTGGAGAGTGAGGGGTCCCCCTGAGACGTGGCAGGTCTGTGAGGTTAGGGAGGGGTTCCTGGCATGAGGAGATCAGGGGAAGATGCAGCACCTCAGGGCTCAGGCAGAGGCACAGAGCTGCTGCAGGGATTTCATGGCTGGCAGCAGGGAGGCAAGGGCAGCACCCTCGCAGGGGAGAAATGAGGCTGATCCTGGCACACATCACCAGACACCCAGCATGGAACAGGGTGAATTTTTACCCAAATCATGGCCTGCACAGACTGACTGTCATGATTTAGTGCAGAGTGGATCTCGTAAAGTCCATGGAGCTCACACAGCTCTGGTGAGTTAGAGGCAGTGAGATGTCCTTGCCAATCTGTTGCTGCCTCTGCCCTGATCCCAATCCAACTGCTTGTAAGTCACAACAGGGAAGCAGAATAATGGCTTTGTGGCCACTGTCACCTTGGGCAGTTAGGCTGGGATGTGGGGAAATTACTGTAGTCAGGGCTGTGATAAATGCCTGTTCTTGAATATGCAATGAATAACTCTGCATTAGAATTGTAAAATATGTTATATTTTACAATTTATATTTAACATAAAATATGAACTTCTACTGGACCTGTGGGAAAACCTTGCAGAAGCTTGGTTGGTATTCACACTGCTAATCCCAGAGATGAATTGGACACCATAAACAGAACAAAAATGTTACTGAATAAATAGTTAAGGATAATGGCTTTCTATGCCAGAGAGGAAATAAATTATCCAACATGAGATGTTGTATAGGCCATAAAACAAAATTATTAAATGAAACAAGTGCCTCAAAAAACTGATCTAGGAAAATGATATGGTATCCAGTTGTATTTTTGGAAAGAGAAGGGCTAATTAAAGGGTGGGAACAACAGATTTTTTTAAACTTGATTGCTCTAACTAGAATCAAAGACATCCGTACCTGGTGAGCAAAAGGGCAGTCCTAAGCAGAAACCCTAGGGAGCCTAACAACAGTGAGCCAAAGGAAAACTTTATTTTAGCGCCTGTGGGGAGCAGAACCTGCTCTGTAACAGATGGTCCCTGTCTACCTTCTGACATCTTTAGCAGCACTAATCTAAGGCACACTTGGGCTGAACTTTCCTTTCTTCTCTGCCTGAGAACTACAGCACCACCACAGATAAACAGCTCCATCAGAGCAAAGTTCATCCACACACATCCAGGTACACTTCTGTGGCCAGCACACCAGAACCCCCCTGGCATGGTGAAAACATTTGATTTACACCCATTCAGAGACATCACCAGGTGACAAAAGTAATGGCAACTAATTCTCCTGCAGGCTTTTTTTGCATATTCACAGCTTCTACCTGGTCCTGCCTCCTCATGGATGAACAAAATGAAGTTCTGTCACAGACCGAAGCAGCCGCAGATGGGGCAGAGCAGAGTCACAGAATCACAATGGTTTGGGTTGAAAGGAAAGAAGACCATCTCATTCCATTCCTGTGCCATGGGCAGGGACACTTTCCACTATCCCAGGGTGCTCCAGTCCCTGTCCAACCTGGCCTTGGACACCTCCAGGGGCAGCCACAGCTCCTCTGGGCACCCTGTGCCAGGCTCTCACCTCCCTCACAGGGAAGAATTTCTTCCTAAATCCAATCTAACCCTGTCCTCTTTTAGTTGTAAGACTGTGGGCGGAAGGAAGAGGCTCCAGCAAGACCCCAGGTACTGCAGGTTAAAAGATTGCTCTGTCTTTGTTTCAGAAGATTTAGGTTTATCCATTTTCCTTTGATAGCAATGCATTGCACAACTGTGCAGTTTTGTGTCTAATCAATGTCAGTTCTCTAGAAATGTTAGTCCCCTCAGCAGCCTTCAAGGTGGGTGATTTCACAATTTTAAGAGTAGGAAGTGTGATTCCAGAGACAAAAAAAAGACCCATTCTTTCTCTCTGCCAGACAAGAAAAGCAATGTTCAGCCTTAGGCTGGTCTTGTAAGGAAAATTTCCAGAGTTCTCACTCTAATCCATCTCCTTCACCACACAGCAAAATCTACATTTACTGAACTAATCATCTGAGTGACTTGTCTGGGTACCTGGAACTGCAATTTGAATTCATCCTGTGGAAAACATAGCCCAGAGTCATAGGTCCTATGCCAGATATGAGACCTCACCTGTATTCCCTTGCTCTGCTGCAAATTGCAATCAATTACAGATTATTCTGAGTTCATATTTCATATTTATGATTTCCTGTCCTGCCTCTGAGGCAGTTAAGATGAAGTTGGTCCAACCAGCTCTCCTCTCCCTCCTGCCTGGAGAGAGCTTCAAATCTCTGTCTCACAAAAGCTCTTAATGCTGCTCCTGGTAACTCACACTCAGCAAGGACTGGGCACACCAAAGACCTCAGTTAAAGAATCTCATATTTTAATCTCTGGAAACTAACAGCCAACTCCCCTTTTGAACAAAAGGGATGCTAAAAACTGGGCTCTTGGAGGGCCTCATTAATCCCTGCTGTAACTTGATGCACTTTACACAGTATCAGCTGACCTGTTGGGACATTCCCCAGCATCACTGCAGAAGCAGCATGATGACAGCAATTAGGTCACCCTCTCCAATTCTCACATGTCCTGATCACACAAGGACAATGTCAAGGCCTAAATTTCCAAAGAGCCAGAGCTCTGAGCTGGCCACTGCTGCAATATAATATGCATGAAGGTCAGAAGCTGCTGTCGCCTCAAATGTGTTTTTTGAACAAAGTTATTTTCTTGGCAGAGATATTCACTTGAGTATATTACTAAACTGAGGAAAATAACATGATAAAATGGAAAAAGGCCATGTAAAAAATGAGACAATCAGGCTAGAACCCCCAGTTCATTTTGACTGCATCAGCATGCTCGATCCAACTTGTAAACCAGCCTTAACAGAGAAGCATTTTCCCTGTTTGAATTGCATTAAGAAGTGGAATTAGCTTTATAAATATAAATCAGTTAAATATAATGCAATATTTATAACATGGTATCTGATTTTTCCCCCTTCAGGATTCCATTTAAAAGGAAATAACAAGGAAACAGTGCTCTCAGAAAGACAGCGGGTTTACAATTTATGCTAATTAATTTTCATATTGACACTAAACTAAACCCTGCATTTTATTTGACTGCAGCAAGGAAAAAAAGAAAGGTAGATGGAAAAAAATAGATTTTCTTTCTCCTGCAACAGATAATTCTGCAGAAAAGGCTCTGGTTTTTACCAAATCTGTTAATCCTCATTCATTTTTCTTTTGCCCAGCATACAGGTCACTACACCCAAACCAGTCCCAATCCCTCCCCCAAACCCCCAGACACAAGGGCAAAAGCACAAGCAAGAAAAATGGTTCAATTTATTTGAAGCCCTGAAAGGCTCCAATCAAGATTGAGAAGTCATTATTCTAGGAACTATATAAAAAGAGAAATAGCCCATCCCTGACCTGCAAGAGGTTCCAAATTTTCCATTAAATCAAATAACATCATTCAAAGTTGGAAGAAAAAATTCTATTCCTTGTAAAGTTAGGAGGGAAAAACGCAACACTATTCTGTGGCTAGAAAGTCTGCTTGGGATTTGGAAAAAGAATTATCAGTTGGCTACGTCCATATGTGTTCATTGAAGAGTCTGTGCCAAACTCATAATTGCTCTAAGTTGCTGAGTGTCATTGATGCTACATCAAAAAGAAGCCCAGGCCACAGAGGTTCATTTTCTATTGGAATTATTAATCAAAGATCTGCAAAATCCTGACATGAAGCTTTCTTCCAGCTTTGGCTGAGTCAAATTCTATTTGGTGTTCAAACAGATGCATTTTTCCCTTCTTCCTCCCCACATACATGCTCCATCTCATTTTGGCAAGATTGAAACCGCTGAAAGTGGTAATATGCAGAATTATGTCTTTGATTAGAGAGGCCAAGAAAAGCTGAAAAGCAACAACTTCACCACACTGACCAACTCAGGCTCTGTCAGGTTTGACCCTGTCCTCCAAATATTTACTCTACTTTGTTATTACTTTAATTATTCATTCAGGTTTTTTCTACTGTTAATAGAATTTGCCCATCATATTGATTAGTTTATTTAGTTCAGCTGGATTCGGAGTGTAAATAAGATTTTTTTTCCAATTTAATGGCCCCTTTGCTCCACTGACTCCATTTTGGTTTTTTTTTCCTCCCCCTAATTTTAATAGAAGCAGCAGCACTAATTACCTGCCCTCATGTCAATGTTTCCTCAGCAGCATCCTCCAGCACTGAATTGCTGGTTCCTTATTGTGACTGTCATTAGCACTGAAGTACTCTTATAAGGAACATTTCACTCAGCCAGCCTGAGGTTCCTGCAACAGAAAAAGAATAATTTCTTAGTTAGAATCAGGATGCTGTCTACCCTTAATGAGACAGCAGCACGATTAGAAATGGAGATGTTTTCCATTTCCCATCCATATTTATTTAAAACCACATTTCAGTGAAGCAAACACAGGCTTATCCTCTGATGTGTGTTGTGCCTATTCAAAAAAAAAAAAGTGAATTCTTTATCTCAGGTTTGCAGCTTTCTCAAACATCATAAAATCCTAATTCACTTTTCCTTATTTTAATGGTTTTCCCAGTACAGTTTTTAAGCAGACATGGAAACTGGGTTTATCAATGTCTGGCAATAACATGGTGATGTAGTCCTCACCTGAACAGGCAGGATCTGCAGTATGCTAGCAAAGATATCTACAATATTAACAAAATGCCTCATATTAAAATCTATCTCCCACATCTTATCTCTCCATAAGAATAAACTGATTTTCGTTTTTTTATTTTTTTGCCAGTATAGCTGTTTAAGAATTTTATTTGATTGAGACAGAAAGCAACTCTATTTGACTGCTTTTCTATTTTAAATATTTGCTTTACTCGCTGTGTTGCCTTACATCTTCCCCATTAGTTGTCATCTTCAATATTTAGAGATGGTTGACTTTGCTAATCCTTGAACAATCTTGTTTTTAAAATAGCTGCCAAATGACTTGGGATGGGAATACTATGAAATATATTTGGCATCAATTTATTACTGAGAAGAACAATGTTAGAAATTTGAGGAGAAAAGCGAAAGTCTAAGTATTCCTCCAGAGAAAGGTGACATATTGAACAAAGGTGGCAGAAAGGGTGGAGGCATGGAAAGAGGTGAAAGGGAAGGTGATCACACCTATTGGAGGAAGAGGATGACATATTGGAAGATATAAAGCAATGCAGGAACTCTTTTTTCTCCTATTAAAAGGTGTTGCTGGGCACATTGATCTCAGGGGTATTAATCAGGAAAGACACCTTAAATGGCCAATTTGAGCTTTTGGGGGGAACTGAAACCTAAATGAAACCCAATAAGATGTGTCCTAGAGTGAGAGCCAGTGAGTACTGCAGGGGTGACTTAGGGCTTGTGGGGCCCACAAAAAATTGTATTTTTTGTGCAGCTTCTTCATAAAGCCCATCCTAGGAGCTCAGATGCATGCTCTTCCCTGGCCTACCAGGCAAAATCTTGTACGGTTTTAAATCTTAACACAGAGGTAGAGAGAGAAAATTTCACCTGAAAACGTTTTCTGAATTCATGACTAGTGCCAAAATTCTTTAGAATTCTCAATAACTGGCCTGTTATTAATCCAATATTAAAAATGTCCATGGCACACTAAGTCTGTCAGCATGGGAGCAAAGGGGTTAATTTGGATGGATTTGCAAAGTGGTTTAGCTAAATTGCATTAGATATTTGTATTAAGAGTTGAAAATGCCTTGATTAAGTTTTCTTTACCATCCTAAGTAATTTAAGTTAAATCAAATGAAATTGAGGACATTTTATTTCTGACTACGAACGTGGGCACCGAATTTAACGCAGTTTAACTAAATCTCCTTATTAGTGGCTGAGGCAGGGAAGGAATCCTTGACAATTTCCACAGCTCCCAAAAGAAACCAAGCCAGCGCTCTCTAACAACACTTCATTCCTTAAGATACTTGAAATCTGTCCTGAGCATTTAAGGAGGGCCAGGAGGGAAGGGAAAATGTATATTCCTCATGCTGCAACATTATATAATGCCATCCAACCCCAGAGACAGACATTGGACTGCTTCCATCCCATATGGCAAGGCAAATGTTCTCCCAGTTTATTATTAATAGTGCTGTGACAGCACTGTGACTCAGCATCAGAAATCATTATTTTAAATATCTTCCACCAGAACTGACTTGGCACAAATCTTTTTGCCACAGAAGGTTGGTCCTGACTGAAACCTTCCACCCAGCCCTGAGATGAGCACAGAGATGCAACAACCTGGTGATCCACTTCCACATGGAAATCAAAGTGTGTCTAACCTTCAAGGAGTTGATATAGCATTTTGAATTATACATCAAGGAGAAAAATTTAGTGGGTAAATGTTAAAATCATTAAAGTAACTTTTCACTGCAAATAGAGAGTGAATGCCTCATCCCAAGACAGCTATGAGATGTATCAGTTTAAGTTTTTAATCCCTAAGTATGCATAAATCTCTCCAGTCTCATCTCTTGTCATCTTCTTGTCAAAAGAAATTTCATTTCACTTCCACCCATCACTGCTCCCCATGGTTTCTGAAAACATTCCACTTTAAAATTTTATCATGGGAAGGGGGAGGTTTCTTCTAGATTTCATGCAGGGCTAAACTATGAAATCCTCAAAAGAATTTATTAAAAAATAAAAATAAAATTTAAATAGAGGCTTAGTACAGTTAATAAAAATATAAAATCATAGAATGACTGATATTTTAGAACACCCTTGATATCTTTTGTCTCTCTATCTACCTCCATTTTGCTTCCAAAGTCCAATAGAAACTGCAGAGATTGATACACATTTTCCTTCATTAGTGTGTGTGTGATGCTCTTAGAGGGGAAAATGGATAGATCAATCACCCAGGCTGACTCCCAAGGACTCCTTCCTTGTGACATCCCTTCTCCAGCCACAAACAGCTCATTAGTTCACAAAACCTACCAGTATCTAAAGGCTGTAAAAACCCCACCCACACCAGATGACATCCATTTGAAATTACTTGATCATTTCAGTTGCTTGTTACTTTCTATGTGTTTTTCCACTTAATTTTTTTTGCATAAGGCAACACACCCATTTATTTCTGCAGGAAGCAGGTTGATGGGAGGTCAACCTATATAAATAACTTTATAAATGCACATAAGCAGGAGCTGGAAGCACAAGAAAGATCTATGCTTATTAGAGCAGGCATGGCACATGCATAAGACATAAATACAACCAAGAGCTTCTCTTCAGTACCTGTGGCTGTTAAATCCCAGTGAAAGATCATTTCCTACTGCAGATCCAGTTGCATGAGCTCCAGCAGATGGGATGTACTCTCCTCTCAGCTCCATCCACACGTAAGGAGCCAGCTCAATGCGTGACAGAGCAATGAATTAAGCATCTTCTACTTTGCTTCAATAGAAATCAAGTTTTAAGGAATGACATCTTACATAAAATATTGCCTGTCACCTGACATTTTCCCCTCCTAGAAAGAGGGGAAAAATTACAAAGGTAAAACATAAAATAATAATATTGCTCATAATAGCATCCTAATATCCATATGAGGATGGACATTAATTTGGCATTCTATAACATCTGCAACTTCAATGGTCATCTATCACTGTTTACTAGGATTATTTATCTATTTTTAATTCTTTGGAAGTAACTCTCAAAAGAGGATGAGAGACAAAGTTTGCTTTTAGATTTCACAGATACTTGCAGAAAAAAGAAAAAATGAACTTGTTCCCTTGAGCTCCCTCAAAGGTTTGAAAGGACCCTTTTGTGCCTCACTTTTCATGTCTTTGCCTCTTCCTGGTTCTCAGTTCCTCTCTTTAGGATTTTAAAGCCTATTTCAAATGCCATGATCAAACAACAATAATTCCCAAACTCACACACTATTTAGATCTATTCCTCCTCTCTCTCTTCACATCCCAACCACCATCCCAGGATGTTATTTGTTTTTTTCCCCACAGCCCCAGCCCAATACCTTGTTTCCATCTTTGTCTCAGCCACTTCCAGCTTCCCTCTCCTGCACCTAAACCTTTACCAAATTAGTACCTGTTCTACACTTGCCCCTTCTGTGTCTCTCTTTTTCCCTTAATCTCTCATCTGATCCCAGTGCCACTCCAAAGAATTGGCTTCTCACTTGTCCCTTCCACTTCACTCTGGCCTCAGATCACCTCTGTGGCCACTCCTGCCCAGAGCTCCCTGATTTCCCTTCCTCTGCTCTTAACCCCTGCCCCATCCCTTTGAATTCAGTGTGATGAATGTGCTGTGGAATGCAAGGAAAGGAATCCCATTTGGATGGCATTTGGTCACTGGGTAAATGCAACCCAGGAGGTTTCATTGCTTTTCCTTTTCCCTTGAATTTTTGGTGACACTGATTTTGAGGCAATTTTAGGAGTAAGTGTACTGTACATCATAAGTACACAACAGCTTCTGGCTGCAACCCAGCAGAAACCTCCTACATCTCACAGGTGGTTTGGGAGCTGCAGATGGAGAACTTCTGTGGGGGGGAAAAAAAAAAGCTAAAAAGATAATCCATCCTTATTTGTCCTTTCATTACTATTGGTTCTTACCATTTCTCTGTCTCTCTGAGTGCTGCAGAATTGAGTTCAGCTTAAAGAAAGCATATAAAGAATAACAAGCTCTCTTATTTTGCAACATTATTGTGACTGTTACCAAACTATTTATTTCATTAATTTCCATCTTTCCTATTCTCCTCTGAGCCACTGCAGAGAAATTTGGTCCTGACAGGCAATAGCACAGAAAATAGTGCCCCAAAGGGGCTTCTGCAGGGAGAAATGGAGTGTGCCAAGGACAGAGCAGGAAAGGAAGGGGAAGGGTGTAGAATCACAGAATCTTTCAGGTTGGAAAAGAACTCCAAGATCATCAAGTCCCATCTTTGACTGATTCCACCATGTCAACATTGCAGTTACATCACTTCTTGAACACCTGCAGGGATGGTGACTCCACCACTGCCCAAGGCAGCTCACTGGAGTGCTGGACCACCCTTTCAGGGAAGAAATTCCTCCTGGTGACCAACCTGAACCTTTCCTGGGGCAGCTGCAGGCTGTGCACTCTTGTCCTGCTGCTCGTGTCCTGGGAGAAGTGGCTGACACCCACCTGGCTACAAACTCTTTTCAGAAATGAGCAAATCTTTAACAGCTTAATCAGACACCAACTCACCACATTTTACAATATAAATTTGAAATTATTTTCATGAGCCACTAAGCTGCCAGTTTTTCCTGACCAGGCTGAATTTTCCCTGCTGAGCTCTTCCTTAAGCAACACTTTGCTGACCAACATGTCTTTTAGCAATACCAGTTTTAAGCTTTTCATCCTGCTGCCCAGCTCTGCCAGATTCTCACTTCCAAATAGTGCATTAAAGTAAGAGCTGCTGTATAGCACAACATTTGTCATCTGGTGAACGCTGATATCACAGCCTGTAACACCAAATAAATAAATAAAATCTACTCCACACTGCACTGGGGAAGAGCTTCACTGAGGTGTACAAAGTCATGGACTCCATTTGACAATGTGGAGAATCTTTACTCACCAAACTCCCACCAGCAGAATGAGAAACACACAGGCATGAGATACTCAGATAAAAGCAGGTCCTTTTTTATGTGGCTATAGTTTGTTGACACAAGCTTATCAAAGCAGACAGTAACAGCAGGTTAAAAAATGGATTGGGCAAGTTCATAGACAGTCAATTTAAAAAAAACTCCAAAACTGTTTTTTCAGATAACCCATCTGCTAGTTTCAGGCAAAATTAAAGGTAAGAAGAAAAAGCCATTTATCTTTAAACTGACTTCAAATTTGCTTCTAATCAGCTGGGAACTTTGTTTGTTGTATTTAAGAAAAAAAGAAAAAGTTAATTTAAAAGAAAAATAGAAATGTATTTCAAGTCCTATTGCTTTTGTTCATTTTCAGCAGACTCAAGTACTTAGACTCTCAGAAGAACATAAAACAGTGAAAATTGTACTCATAGTAGATGAAAAATGTACCCACTGCAATTATTTTATAATTAAGCCCTGATGGTGTAGCATTTAGAGTCAACCTATCAGAACAGTCCAAGTCTATAAACACAGAGCTGGAGTTGTGAGTGCTCTGCTTGTTAATTTTACTGTTAATGAAGGAGAAATCAAATGAGACCAGGATGCAGAAATGTTATATGACTGTACCTTGGACATTGCTCCTTGGTGATATCTCATTCTCCTCTCAGAGACACAGATGTGCAGCAAATGGCAGGTAACAGCACACAGGAGTTTGTTGCTCTGGTTTCAGGGTCCAGCTGTGCTCTAACACCACCTGCCAGTGTTCCCTAATGCTGCCCACTGGACAAGCGTTGTGTCCATACCATTCCATGCTGTCTGGATAACTAGTGAGGCACAGGGCATGGTCCGTGCATTCAGGAGAAATGAAAATAATAACATGGGCACTTAACCCAACCTTTCCATGCAGCTGTAACCTCTCATTAGGCAGCAGCCTCAAGCAGGCTGGGTTTTGAATCATTGCAGTGTCCCTGCTATTTGAGAGGCTGGGAATTTGCTGACTGATCCCAGCATTCCTCACTATTAAAAAACCAGAGAATTTTAACAGAAACAAGTCCAGCTCTCACCAAGGATAAAGCAAAAACAGCCCTGCAAAGATCTAGAAGATGTCAGCCATTGCTTAGAAGTAACACAAAGCCAGTGTCAAAGCAAAATACACGGTGAAGACACAGGTTGTGTCTTCAAACAAACTCTAGAGCTGGGGCTCTTAAATGGAGATGTTTAAAATACCCATTTTGCATATTTTGTACATATCAATTTGGAAAAAATATCCATGAATGAGTAACACTTTGGAATAGTGACTTGATATTCTTTTTACTTGCATTAGTGAAAAGTATATTTCAAGAAAATAAAGGGAAATGTGAACTTTAGACTCACCAGGTTCTCCACAACAAGGCCATGGATTTAAATAGGTGGTATAAAAATAGAGCTGGTTAATTTTACATCCTATTCATACATTAAACAATAGATACAATGAGGACCTCAGTAAACTGACATGGTTTTGAGAAGTCCAGTAACATTTCAGTTACGTGCAAAGCTCATCTGGGTCCTTTGTGCAGGGGATATTTTCTAATAAAGCACAAATATGGCTAAAAATATTTTCAATCCAATTCTAATTTGTCTTGCCACACAAAAATAGCATGCAGCACGATTAATATGCATAAAACATAAACCCATTAATGGACTGCATTTAGGTGAGTTAAAGGAAGTGAACCAAGATCATCATAAATCTTCTTATGTGCTTTTGGTGATACACTGACAAGTAGGAATTAAACATGCAAGGAACTTTTATTGAACTGTCCAGATCCTGTTTACATTCAATCAAAGTTGCCCACTTTATCATGCTGCTCTTGACATCGCTGTGAAATAGATAACAGCTAAATCAGAGACTGTCAAACTGAAGTAACTTTCAGGAATTAAATGGTAGTTCTGAATAAAAGCCATAATAGAAATGCACCAAAAAAGGGGGGAGAAAAAAAAAACCTCTAAAACAATGGGAATTGTTTCAAAACAGTGGGAAACTTTAGATGATATAGCAGAGACACCGAAAGTCCCTGATATAGGGATGGAATCGAGCAGATTGTTTGGGCAAAATGTCATCATTGGAGCTTTCTTGTGCCTTATTACACACAGACTTCATCTGGGACTCTGCACAGCACTGAATCACTATTTACAGCAATTTGACCTTGAACATTAGAGTTGCATTAATAGAGCCCAATCCATGGAACTGATAGATAGTTAAGAGGTCAGTGAAAATGTATAACAGATTTTTGTATTCAAATAGGAAAGAAAAAGAAGGAGAGACTTGTATAGATCCTAAAAGGAAGCATTTGTTCATAAAACACCTGGACTAGCAAAGGGCAGCCTTTTCTACACAACAGTTAAGATGCAATACATTATTGATCAAGCATTGTAACAAGTTTAGCACCCTTTCAGAGCTCTCATGATGCTCTAATTATGGGATGTAAATTGGAATCTCTAAAACATGTGAATTTCCTGAAGATGAAATCTAGCCACCCTCAAGCATGCTCGATTAACTGAGTGACAAAGAATTGCAAGCAGGAGTTTAAAATTCAGTATTCATTCAAAAGAAACCAATTTGAGGATTTCAAATACTCCACTAACAGCAAGAGACTAGCAGTACATAGGCTGATTATTTCACATCCTAAAGCTTTTCTCACCCCTACATTTATAGAGACATCTGCAAATGCTAATAGAGTTCTCTCTAGGATGGGGATCATTAAGTCAAAGTACTCAAGCACAATGGGCAATGAAAGATTGAATTGGTTAGTGCTCATAACAATTGACAATGATGCTAATATATATCAGCACTTC